AACCTGAAGGTGCTCTGCCTGACGGGCGGCCGCGAGACACTGGACCCGCCGCCCTTCCGCAGCCTCGAGCCGAACATAAACGACTCGATCCACGTCATGATCAGCAAGATGTTATGGATTCACAGCCCACTGCGCACCGCTTGGCTCCCCACCGCGCAGATGCTCATTCTCGAGACCCTTGCCGCGTTCTTCCCGCGGCACCACCTCCTCGCGGCGGACTGGTCCAGCGTCCGTCAGGCGCTCCCGGGCTTCAACGGGCCCGTCTTGCAGGTGAAGATGCGGGTGGCGCGGGAGTTGTACCTCCGCCGGCCGGTGCATTCCTTCCACTCCAACGCCGGGATGGTGGACATCAGCTTCCCCACCGACTTCGACCACCTTCAGCGGGTCTACCGTGGCATCTGTGGGACCGAGAAGGAGATCTCCTCGCAGACCCATCCCAACTTCTGGCGCATTCACGGCGGTGACAAGACCAGCCTCTTCACCACCAAGACAGGGTTCAACCCCCTGCTGGAGGACTTCGTCCCGTTTCAGGTTTTCTCGACGCATCACCCGCCGGAGTTGTAACATGCACGCCCCCCACCTCTTCCCCTTCCAGAGGGAACGAAAAGAAGGGGGAAGAAGGAGAGCGGAAAGAGAGGGGTAGGCGGGAGGGTATGAGGCTGGCCAGCGCCCCCTTTGTCGTTGTTTCCTTTTTCACTCTATGTAGTTGTTGGGGTGTTACCTTGTTTTGAAGGAGATTGGGTTGGTAAACTTGGTCAAACAGGCCGTTGTGATAGGAGGCGTCCTGGGGGAAAATAGTGTATAGAGTTATACACTGGACAAGGTGTTTTGATAACCTTAGTATATGATATCAAAGTACCTTAAAGAAAAAAAGAAGTTGAATGTTGTGTTAGGCGAAACACATATTCATTTTTTCTTTTGTTATGCCAGGATTCTCTGAGGTTGCGATAGCTGAATAGTTGCTTCCCCTCCCCCTTCCCTTTCTTTTACCACGCCTTCTCTGTGATCCTCAATATTTTCCTACTCATATTTTACACTAAGTATACTTGTTATTGTAGTTGTGCTAGGAATACATCCACTCACGAGGTCTCTGTATTGTTTTACTATATCTATATCTATATTTGTCTAACTATATAGATGTAAATAGATGTAGTTTTGTTTATCGTATATTGTCACATTTTTTTGTGGATTGTTATTCTTTAATCTTCAAATAGAAGATTCTGCGGAAAAAATGTTGCGGTTCACTCAGAGGCAACAAAAGTATGTTGTAATCTTTTTCAAATTCTTTCGACAATAGTGTGATGATTAGTCATTTTTACAATTACAAAACACATATTTAGTTTGCCGAGTTGCTTTTATTGAAGACTACACAAACGGAAATTATACTTGTTACCATTACTGCAATGCTTTCCCCATTCGTCTTTATGTTATTTCCTCTCGTGTGCGTCTTGGTATATATTCCTTTTAGTTGTTGTTTTTTTACACAAAAAAGACAGTACATTCAAAAATAAAGGTTGTTATACAACGATCATCTCTCATAAACGACATATCCTAGAAAACACACAGGATAATATTGATTTTAAAGTGATCTTTCAAATTTTTTATTTCGTACGTTTTCTCTCTGGGAAAAAGTACAAAGACATTTTATAATCTAGCATTTTATTCTCAAAGAATTCATATATTAAGTTTTTTTTGAGTAAATAAACGAAAACAATCTATTGTCTTTCATTTCGTTTCGTGTCAGTTTCTATTAGTTGGGTTATACAAAGCTTAGAAACGCAAAACTAAAAAAAGAGTGTATTAGTTCCCAAAACCTATATTTTTCATATTAAACGAGGACTATAGCTTAATTATACACCTGACTTTCTAGATAACAAAAAAAAGAGTCTGATCACTCGCAGAAGTCTATTTATTTAATTACAATGTCGAATGACTTTGAGAAGCTATCTAGCTTTTCACCAGAGAAGCACTATTCTATGGCTGTCGCGGACCTCGAGAGGTGTGTTCAACATGTTTCCGAACCTATTAAGCTTGATTCTTTGGTATTATATGAGTTCCTCGACAGCGACTGGGGGTGGCATTTGTCAGTTGGCTGCGTAAAGGCACTTAACAATCACGTCGTTGAGCTTCAGCAGTGGCGCAGTGAGAATGCTGACAACATAGGCGTCATTGAGGCGCTTAAGCATGAGAAATTGAACAAAAAGAACGAGATAGAAAATCACCGGAAGGCAATCCTGGAAATACGGATTGGGCTGGGTGTGTTACGCACAAAGAACGAATTAGGAATGAATGAGGCGAAAAGTCGTGCGCAAGCTTGCCTTGCTAGGGTTGAGGATTTAGATGAGGGTGCTTTTCGTGCTCTTCTACTCCTACCGCGACAACAAGGACGTCTGGTGCTGAAGGATCCCTTCTTGCCTACTGCTCCTAATGTTGCGGTGCATATCATACTGGAGGCCTGCCAGAGTGTTTTAGATGGAAGTATCCCATTAAATACAATTCCATGGGATGAAGTGCGTGCCACTGCTCAGAATATTCATTTTTTGGAACGTCTGAGCAGCTATGATGTGACTTATGACATGGAACTAGAGCATTTCGAGGCGCTCGAAAAGCGTTACATGTCAGATTTAGAAGGCGTTGATATGCAGAGCGAGGTTGGACAGATGGAGGGCGCCGCCGGCGACACTTTGCGTGCGCTCTACGAGTGGTTTCTCGCCCAGATGGGCGTTTTCCGCAGTTATCAGGCTTGTGTGCAGACTCAGGAGTGCGCGGATCGGCTGCAGCAGGAGGTTATCGAACATGTCGCAAGTCTCAAAGAAGCGCAACGGAAGTTAATGCAGCTTTGTGCACTTTTCAAACAGTACAGCAGTGGTAGAAGTCCAGGAAGTGCAGTGACTGGGGAGTATACGTTTGTGCCTGCCAACGATGTCAATATCACGATTCCGCGCTCAGCCATCGTTGCGACCTTGGAGGAGTTTAGCACGGCTCAAGTGTGTGTTATAGGTAAAGAGGAGTGGGTGGATATGGAGCGACGTGCGATCATCCATCGGCCTCGGCTCAACGCCACAATTGGCTATCTTTTTCAGTCCTTAAAAAGTCAGTACTCAGTCTCAGGGATGTCTACCATACCCAGGGAAAGGACAGGTTCCAATGAAAATGCCAGTGATCATCATAATGAACCCAGTCGAACGTTTCTACGTGAGAAACAAGGTGCCGAAACGACTGTTGCTTCCCACTCCTCAATACAGAACCAAGCAAATGAAAAGAATCAGTATCAAAAAAATAATTTACAAACTGAGCATGAAATCAATATCTTTAGAGAGCAAAAATCCACAACACTTACACAAACAAGTACTATCAACGAAACGACATATCAGGATACCGTCTCAGTCAATTCAACATCAAAAAAAGGAAAAGATAGCATGATTAATAAAAAAGCTTATGCAGACGAAACTGATAATGAGGATGCTAATATTAAAACATATTCAATTAGCACATTTCCAGGAAATGAAAGCTCAGATGAAATAAAAGACCCTATAAAGAGATGTGCTCAGCTACAAAAGGAAAGAGATACCCTCGACTTTCAGCGAAAAAGCATCGAGCGTGATTTAGAGAAAGCAAATCAAAAACTAAGAAATACCCGCAGCGAATTGACTTCACTTAAAATACAGCTAGAAGGATTACATGAAAAAGAAGAAGGGAGTCAACTGCGCAAAACAAAGGAACGTCACGTTGGAGTTCAGAGGCATCAGTTGGAAGCCGAGGCTGAGAACGAGGCCCTGCGTGAGAAGTGCGCTCAACTTCAATTAGAGAAAGAAGCGCTGGAGCAAGAGCTCGCTGCAGCCGTTGATGCTGCAACTCC